TTGATATGAAAAATGTTTCCCGTCTGAACTGATGCATATGATCTACTTAAGTATCACTAAAATACTTATTTCCTTATGGAAGGATCTAGCTACTAAGCTACTCAACAATCAATCAATTTTCACATCCATAAATATGGCACTAGACAGCACATTACATGAGACTTTTAAAGGAATTGTCGTTCACCAAGTAAAGTTTCTGTATGGAGAGCAACTGAAATGTCGGTTCTTCTTATTATACTTACGCCCTGTAGTTCTTCATGATAGGTTACCACTATCAATGTCCTTGTCAATATATTTATTATCGCATCTTAAGTTACACATCATTTTCGCGAACAGTGTTCGCGTTTATGTGAACAACTTCTTATTAGGTTACGGAAATTGTTAAGGTCAGTCAGTCAGTCAGCTACAACGTAGGGCCAGGCACATATATGCATCGTTCCAGGTTGCCATACCTCATTAGCACAGCAAGATGAACACCGGATTCATAGGAGTGGTTAGGTTAAAGGTTGTCATATATAGGAGAAAGATTGCATATAAGGATACAGTACAGGAATATAGAATCAGTTCGTAGAAAGAAAGATATGAAGCGATTTTAATCTCTTAGTTTAAGGGAAGATAGGGAGTGTATACACCGACGCCATTGTGACCGATTCTAAGCCATGTCACCAAGAGTTTCCAACCACTGAAAATTGTTAAGGTAGCTATCACTTAATCTATAATGTGCATAATTTAAAGCACATTGTGGATGACGTAATAGAACATGGCAGTTTAGAGTCGTTCTCTGCATTTCCTTTTGAGGAAAATTAGGCGTTCAGTACACTGCGGATTTGCTGTGGCTGAACAAGCTGCACAACGATATGCCGAAGAAGTTTACTTTCAAAGCTTACTGAAACAAGATACAGCTGACAATGTGGCTCAGCCTGATTTAAGTTATGATTAATCCAAGGAAATCATCACTTACCGAAACTCAAAGCTATACAGCACAAGGTCGGACAATGTAGTAATCGCCAATGGTCGATCAGGGTTCGTCACACAAATAGCTGATGGAGACCGAATTAGGTTTCAGGCATTCCATAACCCTTTAGATATATATACCGACCCCTTTCTTTCCAGTAATAATGGTATGTTCATGTGTTCTATCTTAAGCCACGAGTGTACGTGGAGTACGCTGTCAGACATACTTTGTAAATGAATTTGTATAAGGACACAAAATTATGAGGTTATTATCACCCTTTTGCAAACATGCCAATAGGGAGTGACATCATTTCTCAAATGGTGTCGTAAATATAGTACTTTAGCCAGTAAGTGTCTGTTGGTTGATGATTTTGCATCGTCCATCAGGAAGTGTTGGTGAATTTTTGTGAATGTATAAATTTTCAATTTTTAACGCCTCGGCATTCATTTACAGCTTCTTTCCGGACAACAGATCTTGGTTAATGATAAAGGGAAAATCAAGTTCTTTGCATCCCAAAAAATTGGCTGCTGAACAATAACCAACTTCTTTATCGTGATGATGTGACTGAAAAGGATATTATTGAAGGTGTCGACTTTGATAGCCTCTCCGGTTTGAGAACATGCACTGTACTGCATCGTTTTGGTCGGTGGTAATAACTTTAAATTCATTTTTTTAGATGACTACCGTTTAGCCGAGGAAACGAAAGTCTGTCTAACCTCAGTACTCGGTTACAATAAAAAAATTATCACGGACGATGAAACGCTATCGTATGAAGCGAACAAACCGAAAAAGTAAATTGTTCAACTAACTAAATCACTTTTGTGTTAGAGCTGCTAAACGCAAACTGGACGGCTATTTATGTACCTCTGAAGAACTAGAGGTTGCTGAGGTTGAAGCGGGATTTCGCCCGGTAAAATTTCCAGTTGTCAAAATTTGGACAGAAAGATTCTCACCGGTAGCGAAGTATGTACGTATTTAATCAATGCTAAAAAAAAAAGTAGTTCATCGAAAACAGAGGTTTTCTCACCACCGCTTTCATGTACATCTACTGAAATTAATAAACCGTTAGTTCGATTTAATGTCATTATAATAAGAAAAGGTAGTGCACTGATGACAGCATAATTTCTAAAATGGTTCTGGAAGCAGTCACTGAACTGTCGAGCAGGATCGATAAACTGATCACTTTACATGTGCGTTTATCCATGGGTGTAAAAGACAGACGTACCGAGCAAGCAGATAACTCAACTATTGCTTTCCCATTAAGAACACATGAGAAGTTGCGTTCTTTTGAGGTTGCTTTGGATGAGTTAAAGTTCCGTGATAAGTTCGTAAGTTGTAACAGATGTTTAAAAAAATTTTAGGTGGACAGATTGTACGACCTCATATCTGATGACCCTCGTAAATCAGCAAAAGCCTATCTAACTTACCTATTGTCGCTGGAACTGACGATCACGTACACTTTGCACAGGACGAAAAGTAAATTCAGTATTAGTAAGTACAAATTTTACCGAACGGTGTAAGTAAGCTCACACTACTGTATTAATATATTTGTAGGTGTTTTGTGTTCCAGATTCCGAAGTGCGACCTGTCCAGAAAAAAATGCAATACACGCCATGGATGTTGCAAGCCAGGCTTTCTTACATGACGCAAGAGATAAAGTAAATAAGCGTGGATAGTGATCCAAAGAAAGAGTGGGCTAGAAGCACTTTACATGTTTGGTATAATACAGTTTAAATATGGTAATGGATTCATGAGATACCCGTCTTAAAAGTGTATTTCTTGCATCTTTGGACGGCATCAGAGCAACTCATTGAGTGTGTGGAGCATCCCTCCTCAATCTGACACTTTCTGTCCAGCTTGGGTCCATTGGATTTTACTGATTCCGAGAACCGTGAAATTGTACCTCTTCGTTTTCGTAGCTCTCCGATTAGTGTTCTTGGTCTCCCACATTGTCCTTACAGTTTATGCACCCATAAAAATTGTTGCCCTGATGTAACAAACTGTTATTTGAGAATAAATTATTATTATTATTATTATTAGAAGAAGAAGATGAAGAAGCATAAGCTTCTTAACTTCCTAAGAATCTCGACTCGGGAGTATCGTAGTCGGCGTTCTTTATGAAAGTTGCATTGCGACGTGCAACACATGGTCGAGAAAACATCCAGATGAAGTTGGGGGCTTCTAGAAACTGCAAACTTATTTCCCTCTGGAATATCCGAGGCTTTGATGATGGTGCAGGATTAAGTCACACGTCCAGTATCTGTTTCCCGTGGCATATCCCAAGGGGCAGATTAAGGGTGCAAGAAAAAGAAGAAACAAGAAGCAAAGCAGACGACGTTCATGAATGAAGAGTTAAGGCATGATTACTCAGTCTAATTTTTTTGTTAAAGTACTTATTTAGAAAGTGCATTGTAATATGTTAAAGAAAATAAGTGTAAACACGGTATGAGTGGATAAAAAACAGGCGAATGGAGGTGGTTGAGAAAAAAAGCTGAAAACATGGGATTATGTGTAGTTTTTATAGGGTCTTGAGCAAGCTTAGATTTTAGCGAATTGTCTCGTTTGCTTTGACAGGATTATTCAGTAGAAAGCGAAAGCAATTCAGCGTTCTAAACACGATTTTTTGACGTTATTTGCTTAATTAATCAGCATAAATATCATCAGGTTGCTGACTCTATAACCAACCCTCCTCCTTTACCCGGTCTTGGGACCAGTAGTAACCCTAGAAGAGCTATAGGCGGAGTTCCATTCAGATTAGATCTGACTAGGCGTGCCTAGTCAAATATAATCCAAAAACGTCCAATGTAATATATTTTATCACACATCATGATGGCTGAGGTCGCTAGCAACTTTATACTACCTAAGACTATCAAATGTTTGTCTTCACAACTGAAGATTTTATAATAACACGATTTGAAAATTCAAGTTAAGATACATAATGTAACGTCGCAGTAAAAACTGTACGTATGTATTCTCACCTGGTTTTCGTGTGATTTTTATAGAAAGATTCGGAGGAGTATTGCGTGAAAACGAGTTTGCAAGAACTGTTATAAGATTATGGTGAAATTTTGGGGAAAAAACCCCAAAGTCGAGGGAAAATTTGTAGAAAAAATTCCCAAACTTTTTCACAATTTTATTAATAAATATAAGCCCACTTCCCCAAAGTGTAATAAAATGCTGGAGAAATTTCGGGGGTTTTGTGCCATTTCCCCAAAGTCTACTATAGAGGCTTCCTCAAAATTGAGAGCTCGAGTTTGTTATTCTTAATCATTAGAGACATGAGTATCTCGATCTCCATCCTCCAGCATCACTGAAAATTTTTTTAGGTGTAAGCGACATCATAACTTAAGTTTTCCACGACTGAATTTTCCAGTTGTAACTTTCTGTACTATGTACATAGAACAGTCACGTGACTGAGTAAAATTTTGTTGATTACTGTAAGCCTTACTTTATTTAGTCACATATCAGTCCCAAACACATGAAATTAAACCCTAATATAAATCGTCATTGTTACTAAATTTCAGTATTCGAAAGACAATTATTGTTCACACTGACAACATAGAAGCAAGAATTGAACAGCTTTTCTCTTAATTTTTTACACTGCATTCATGATTCTCCAATAATAAAAAGCAGACACCCTCTTCATCTTCGCCTGCATCAACATCAATTAGTGATCAAACTCCATGACATATTTATTTATTCATTTATATACATAAACATTGGTACAAGGAGGCACCAACTAGATGGCATCAGTAATCAAATATTACTATGCTCGGAAGGTCGTTATTCAGAAACCTCTTTTATCCCATCCAGAACCATTTGAACCATTTTGAATACAATTCTAAGTTTAAGTGGTGGTGTTTAGTTATTATAATATCTACTACTCCGTGATTTGCCTTTACAATTTCCTCTCGCCGTGCTGATGAAGTATGGCAACTTGAACGGATGTTGACACATACCAGTTCCCATTTGGTGTTTGACTGACTGATTGGGGTCTAGTGTTTAAACTGGTTTTACGTACCAAATGTAAACTACTGGGTAGTGTCTTTTACCACCACAAAGAAAATAGCCCATACATTTTCAGAGATCTGGCGGCCTGCTTAAATATCTGGGCTACCTGTTTCTGCCATCTGGTTATTTCAACAGGTTATTGGTTTTTTATTTGTTTTAACTTTTAATCATGTTCATTAATCGCATAACCTACATAAGCGCTTTTATGAAAAGTCTACGACCTTTCGCTGCACAAGTTACAAAAAAGTACTATTAAAGACATCGTGGTGGCTGGCAATATGCGTTAAAAAGAATGAACATTAATCGTCTGCCGATTCTTGAGCTGCTTAATTCTAACTACCGATTACTAATCAACAAAGTGGACTATCTGCAATTCCTACTAAGTCAAAATAGGTATCGTAATTGTGGCGTCATCACAAATCAAGAATCCTGGTTAAATGATTCACAGGGTGACTGCCTAGTATCAATACGTGACTTCGAAATTTGTCTTCAGGATCGATCAAAGAATAAAAAGAGGTGTGATGTCGGTGTAGCTACGTTTGTATACGTGAACTGGTGTCGATCTTCGTTTATGTGCTTTAAGATTTCAAATGACTTTATCGACCGTCTAACTCTAAGATAGCGTCCAAAACATCTGAGTAAATACATATATGTTCATGTTACCAATATCTACGTGACTCCAGACTGCACATGCAGATGATGTACATCATCTGCGCTGTCTGTTTTTGCTGAATTCACTGAGTTCGCTATTACTGCCTTCAGTGATTCACTTTCAGTTGTATGTGGTGATTTGAATTCATGTGACTGTAGCTTCGTTACATCACTAGGTCACCAAAATGTAGTGGATCTTCACACTCGTTTGGATGCTCATTTAGACTTCGTTTTCATTAATGATGTGGGTATATGTGTGACTCGTAAACGTGCTCCATTGTCTAGCTCGAATCACTGTATAATTCTTGTTCTACCGAATGTATATGGAAAGCATGTGAAAAGTACACTCTTACATCAAACCAAGATAGTCAAATATAGGAATTACTCAGAAGAAAATATCCAAAATCTAAAAAAACATGTTTCATACGACTAACTGGGAGTTATTTACAGATGACTCACGGCAAATCACTACTGATGTTATCACTTGTTACCTTAAATTCTGTTTTGATATTCGTTGTCTCACTGAAACCATTTTTGTAAATTTTGATCGACATACATCTTCACAACTAAAACGACTACGGAGGGTGAAAGAAAAAAATGTATAAAAAAAGATGTCTAATGAAGTTCGTAAGCTAAATGGTCTGATAAACCTGGAGATTAGACGTCTCAACTCTCTGTTTACTCAAAAATTCTTGTCTCGCAAAAACTCTCCAAGTATATGGAAACTTTAAAAAAAATAATGGTGACAGTCAGTTTAGAAGCGATAACCAGCTGAATGTTTGTAACTTAAATAAGTCTTTTGTACGTCAGTCATCTGATGTGATGCTCCCTTTATCCACAGGTTTAAAGAATAGCTGTGTTCCTAGTTTCACTGAAACTGATGTACAAAGATGTCTTCAATCACTTAATTCATTCCGATGTTTATGACCTGATGGTATCCCAGACCTCCTTTTTAAAAAGTGTGCCAACGTCCTATGTTATCCATTCACGACTATCTTTAACAGATCCTTCTCATCTAATCTCATGCCTAAAATGTGGAGAATGATGAAGATAATCCCTGTACTAAAGAAAGTATCTGGTGATGGGAATATGAAATTTAGACCTATCGCAATAACTTCACCCTCCCTCAAAACCATGGAAAAATTAATAATACTTTCACTTCAACCTGCGATGAAAAAACATATTGATCCGTATGAGTTTGCTTAAAGATGCAAAAGAAGCACCTTAGGTGCTGTTGCTGTTCTGCATCACAACATAGTATTCAACTTAGAAAAGGGTAAGAAGTATGCTCGATGTGTTTTTCCGGACTATACTTCAGCTTTTGATTCTATACCAAGACAACGTTTAATTAACAAGTTAATCAGCGTTAATACTGACCGCTGGATAACCAAATGACTATTTCCTACCACACTGAAAGGGGATTGTACACTGTGTTTAGAAGAAAGTGTTCAGAGTCTCTACTGTCTTATGAAAGTGTACCACAAGGAGCTGTTCTTTCACCTCTTCTTTTCTGTTTTTTTCTGCATGATCTGCCACCTTCCACAGAAAACACTTTTGTGAAATATGCGGATGATCTCACTGTATGTATGCCTATCTCTTCCTCTTAACAGCCCATAGAAATGACTGAGTTTTGTCTCGTATTAACTGTTGGTCTGTTGGTAACAGTCTCATACCTAATCCGTCTAAATCTCAAGCTGTTAACTTTAGTATGAGACATGAACGGAATCTAAACACCATTTTGGGATCCCATAATGCTTGTACTATTGGAGACTCTTTGATAAACACAGTGTCGATGGTCAATTATCTTGGTGTCACCTTTTCCTCTGATTTCTCTTGGTCTTCCCACGTTTTGTTGGTATCGAAGAAGGTTTGCCGTCTGACTTACTACATAGAGAGATTGCGTGCTCCTGGGATTACTCGTCAGTTACTCTTACAATTTTTCAATTCTTGCATATTACCTATTATTCTTTACTGTTCTCCATTATTCTTTCCCGGGCTTTTGAGAAAAGATTTAAGTGTATTGCGGAGAGTGCTGAAGGCAGTTAGCAAGATGTGTGGTGAATCTTTTGAGGCCATAATTAATATGGTTGTGGATAGACATCTAAAGTCATGTAAACTCCTGGCAGGTGTTGCTTTATCAGATACTAACCACCTCCTTCACTCTTATCTTTCTCCTTGTATATCTTCTGGTAGAACGAGACGTAAATGCATTAAAATCCATGCACGCAAGCAAAAGTATAAAAGTTCTATAATACCTTACCTAGCAAATATACTCTGTGACGAACAGGATGTTAGAGTTAGCCTAGTCAATAACCTGCATTCTTAACATGCCTTTAATTTTAAAAGTTGTACAGTTTCTCAGATTTTTTAAACCTTTTTTGCATTTGTTACTGTTTTTTGCGTAACTTGTTGAAATACCATGTGCTGAAAATTCTATATTGTATCAAAATATAATATTGAATAAAGCCATTAATAATAATAAATTCTCCAGGTTGTTATTATGAGCTAAAATTAATTACGATCGTTAACGACTGACTTTGTCATATAAATCATTTTTACGTCCGTTTATTCATCTAGCTTTTTAGACCAAAACACAGTTCGTCGAGCTAAACAGCCATTTCATAGTTAGATTGATAAATCACATATCGGCACTAAACATCTGACTGTTTTTAAGCCCAAACTATTCTTTGTCTGGCCAGTCGCCTTTTTATTTACGATTTTGTTATTCTGTTTCAGAAAATGAACGAATTTTCGGTCTTGTATGACGATGTTTGTCAACGTGTTTCACGGTCCCTTATGGAAGCACTGAAACCGTTTGATGGTATCGATACAGTTGCTACTCATGGTGGATATAATCCAGTGTATTTAGAGGAAGTGGGGCGTCCTGTTGTCCCGCCAATAACTTTGTCGTCTACTTTCCAACAACTTTCTCCTGGTGTTGCAAAAGTAATAAGGTTTTGTTCTGTATCGACTTTTTTAGTATGACTATTCTAGGTCTGGAAATTTCTCTCGGGAGTGTTTGGAAAAGTGCATAGCATCTCTGGAAGACGGCCATGACTGCTGTGTCTTTAGTTCTGGTCTTGCAGCCTTAGGAACTCTCATTCAGGTCTTATCAAGTGATGATCACATCGTTGCGTTCGATGATCTATACGGAGGTTTGTCATTTTAACATTCTGATTTATATTAACGTGTCTTAGAAGTCAAAGATCAATTATCTTTTATATAGTTGGTCAGTTCATACTCACACTGGTACCCCTATGAAATGTTGGCTACTTTAGACCGCTAAAGTCCGTTTACTAATTTGCTTAATGCACTGACTTGTAAAACAATTTAAGTCTCTCCAGTTAACGATAAATGCAGAATAAATTAGTGAATTATGTATTAGAAACACTTAGCACATCTTTGTGGCAAATTATGTAACTTAATAACCTCATACTGGCTCGTTTTAACTACAGAAGAGGATTCATATGAATATATTAGTAATTCTGCCTAACTGCTTGCTCCATCAGTTTCAAATCAATACATACTAGCCAAAACTGCAGTTCAACTAAATAAAGATAAGTTTTACGGAAACTGCCCATCCCTTATGAGGACTCTAAAGTGTGCCCATTGGTCGAGTTTGATACATACACTTCATTAGGCTTTGGAACATTTCACCATCCGACAGCAGTTACTTTTTCTGATTAATGATAGGGTGTGACGCTGGTGGTCATGTAGTCCTGTTGTTTGTGAAATCAGTAGTGTTTGAGGGCCTTGAATATGTTTGATTGTGTTTCTTATTGTATTCAGTTTAACGATAGGAAGTGGTGTGATTTAGTATTTTGGATGTTCTTATGTGTCATGAAAGGTTCATTATCCCTGATGGGTCAGTGCTCACAGCTCTTTTAGTTGAAGTATACCAGTTTGCGTCATCCGTTGCACAAATAAGATATCTTTAAAACAAAAGACGTTTTAAGATAATAAATGATGTCGTTGAAGTATAGTGAGGGCAACATTTATATTTGACAATGAAGGCTTATTAACGGGACTGAGTCAAATTCATAGAGCTTCATTGTTTAAAGTTGTTAAGGATTCTCTTACATGTACAGTCAATCACCACCCAATTTAATGTGCTGCCTGAGACAATGTTTTGGAGAAAAGTTATTGTCAGACAGATTAAGACCTGGTATCATCCCTTCAAGTCAGACTATTAGGCTGAGGTATACAGAGAGATAAATGACTATATGTCGATATATGGAAGACAACTATAATTATTGGTTAGTAAATCTGGATTGAAATCTTCAGTACAATGAAATGTCATGTTACTTGATGCTTCCTTAAAACTTATGTTCTAAGATAAGACTTATTCTAACACAGAAATATCAAAGCAATATCAAAAGATTTTGTTCTTTGTGAGATTAAGTTTTTTATTGATATGAAACTATGGTTACCAGCTAACGACTTACTGAAGATACTTACTGATATGTACATCAAATCATGCATCAATATTTGATCCATGCTAATGCCTGAGTAAGCCGGAATTTCGTTCACCTACTGACTACTATTTTACCAGGTCTTCAGTTTATTTTATTTTATAATAATTTGTCATTTCCAACTCAATAATTAATTCATATTCAGTTTGTAGTGTTCTTTTTATTTGAACAGGAAATGGGCGATATCTGCGTCGACTTGCTTCGAAATCTGGAATAACAACTACTTTCGTTGACATGCGTGACTTGAATTTGTTTCAACAGGCGTTACAGAAAAACACTCGCTTAGTCCTTATAGAATCTCCATCAAATCCTTTAATGCGTCTGGTCGATATAAGTGCTGTTGCGTCTATCGCTCATGAGTTTAACAAAGAAATTATTGTTGTTGTCGACAATACTTTCATGAGTTCTTATTTTCAAGTAAGCAAAATTATTTCACTGATCATCTTATCGAGATAATCCTAAATAAATGTCCCCAAACTATTTCTTTGTACAAATCTCAAGCCTTAGTTATTTGAAAATTTTATATGACAATAGGTTCGTATCCATATAAAACGAGGGTTCACTCCTCTCTAGTAGTCACATTCGTCTAAACCAAAGATTATTACACTTTTGCGGGGCACTGCATTCAGTCTCCTGAAGTATTTCATTGATAATCAATGTTTAGATATTTCTTAGACTATAATGCACGCTGTAAAACAGTATTAATCGCTGGATTTCGTTCCAACTTTTCTTTTTTATTATTATGCCTGACGAAATCTCTGCATGGATTCAGAAGTATTAACAAGCCTTTGTCAGCTTATGTTTCTCGTAGTATAGACGAATTGTTCGTCCTCATAGATAGTTGCACGTTGATTGCTCAGGAGTTCGCTTTGTATTACTGTATGAACTTGAAACATAGGCCGTAAAAATAGAGTATATTAGTAGAATACTAGTATCCGGCCATAGTTATATTCGATCTCAACTATTGAAATTACCACAATCTCCACAATACCTCTTCTGATACTAATCAACATATGCTCACTAGTGACTGGCTTCAAGATGTATATCCTGCAGTTGTAGTGAGAAGCAGTGACCAGTGGAGTTCAATCGGGTCAGTCTTGAGATAGTAACTCACTGATGACAATGGTAGATGTGTCGCTCAATTTCGTGGATTAGTTAAAGTTGGACATTAACACTGTTGGATGCCGGCTCATCGGCCAATTGGTTAAGCGTTCGCGAGCGAGACTTATAGGTCCAAAGTTTGAATCCCGCGAGGTGGGGTCGTGGATGCGCACTGCCCAGGAATCCCAGGATAAGACGAAACGGTCGTTCAGTGCTACTAGGTTTTCCATGGTGGTGTAGCTTCAGTTGACTCATGATCTCAACTATTGAAATTATTGCTCGTATAGTGTGGAACTGAGTGAAAAAGGCTGGGATTGTGCAGAGGGTACTAGGTGAAATTGATGAAATGGTTGATGAGGCCACGATTGTTAATCGATCAAGGTGGTTGGAATGTATTTTACGTATGCCTAACGGCCACCTATTTTGACGCGATGTATACCAATGTAGGAGCACACTGCAAGAAAGCTAAGGGCATATCATAAGTTTATGAAGCCGTTTACTGTTGTTTCCAGCAATATTACTGAATACAAAATACTTGATCATGCTCCTCACACTAGTTGTAGCAAATGGTTGGAGACAGAAGTAAAGAGAACTAAGCGAAGAAAATTTTCTTTTAGATGAAATTATTTAATTAAGCTATACATTAGTATTTATAGTTGTATGGTATACATATGTCTACAGAAAGATAGGAAAGGTTGCATCATAAATTGATTCGAGATTCTTAATATCTAGTGACGTTACGCAATAATCAAGGGGTAAGATAAGAATAGTTTACGGGTCAGAATTATAAAAGATAATTGTCCACTTTACAGATATGACGAAAAACGAAAAACATTAAGGTCATAATGATAAAAACAGAATAACCATGAAAACTCTTTTAAGTATTAAGGTTTAAAATTACAAAATACTAATAAAAAAAATAACCAAAACATACTACATAAAGAGAAATAGGGTCAAGGAAAAATGAGAGGTTGAGCTTATCGATTTTGCACGCAGAGTTCGGGCTTGAGATGGTGGATTGCCAATGCTTCAGTAGTGCAAAAGTTTTTTATTAGACCTCGCCTCATTCCAATTCTTTGTCGCTTATTTCTCTTTATTTTTATTGATTGACACAATGCGTTATTAAAATAACGCATTGGGTGAAATGATTCGGGACAATTTGTTATAGTGTAAATACATTTGATCTTTGTCTTTCTTTACATTCCGAGTTCCTGTACTTTTTCTAATTACCGCCCTTTCTTTGTTTTTTAACTATATTCACAATGTTTAATTGATTTTATTTTGGTTTCGTTTGCTATTCATTTTGTTTATTTCAACTGGTTTTGGTAATGTGGTAACTTCACCCAACATATATATGCCTAATTCTATGTTGATTACAACTGACTTTATGTTACAATTTACTCTCAAAGTATTCGTGGATTCGAATGAAACGTTGATATCAATTTTAGTAAAAACTCAAAGTTCAGTGAGTGATGTAAGTTAGTGGCACCCAAACCAAAACTCAGCATCAGTGTTTGAAGTCATTAACTTCTAGCCTTAACTATGTTGGTAAATGCAGACTACTTGGTTGGGGTACGCGCGACTATCGTAACCAATGGTTGGAGACTGGGTGACATGGCTCAGAATCGATCACAATGACCTAGGTGTATACACTCTGTCTTCCCTTAAACTATGAGATTAAAATCACTTCATATCTTTCTTTCTACGAACTAATTCTCTCTTTCTGTTCTATGTCCTTATATGCAATCTTTCTTTCATATATTACCACCACTACTTATATGAATCCCGTGTTCATCTTGTTGTGCCAATAAGGTATGACAACTTGGACCGATGCACATATGTGCCTGTTCCGACGTTGTAGCTGACTACAGACTGGATGTAACTTATGTGGGTTTTTGGCACCATATGAGCACTGAATTTCGTTGTTAGAAGATATTCCATTATATCGACTCCTTTATACTCAATAAATTGTTTAAATAATCATATGAAAGATCTGACCTGTAAATAAAACCTTTTCAGTGAATATAATAGGCACATTAAAAAATGTCATTATTACTGTCCACCTGTCATTTAGGAATCATTTAAACTTGCCTTATAACTTATAAAAACAGTAACAGTATTTGTAGCAACAAATTAAATACTGGAATTTGTGTTCACTTTTTTCCACTGAATGCAATTGCAATCACAATGAGTTGAGACTAAGTATCAGAATTCTTGTCAAGTTAATATTCAAAAGAGGCAACACTCATGCTAAGTATCTAAAACCAGAATTTTAACGTTATGTGATTAATTAGATATGTCTGTGGGTAAATAATTATTACTTATTATCATACAATGAATGATACAGTTTTACATATTGTTTTATTATGTAAATATCGGACATGGATATATCTTATGATTGGGATATTTAATTCTTGCAAATTATATATCATAAATAAAATAAAATATTTGTAATATCCCAATGATACCTACAAAATCATATCTCAGTTTTTTTCTTGTTACTGACTTCACTTCGGTCAAATGTGAGATACTATTAAATTACATTTTGTTGGCGTACAATGTTGTAGAATCTAAACCAGTGAAAGACTGTAAAATTTCCATGGAACACCATTGTTCTCCGACTTTTATTAAGCGGTGTACACTTTCGACTAGTGATGAGGTGTCTGATTCACTTTGCTACTACATTCATTCATTATCATTTTTTATGAGAATATAACCACAAAAGACGATGAACTTTTGACTATGTTAAATAATAAATTGCTGGGTTCTTAGTGATTGTTTGTAGGAAATTATTCATAAAATCACTATGAATGTTTCCCCCGTATATTGGAAATTGTGTAAATTGAAACTTGTCGTAATAGTACACTCGTTATCGTAATTAAATAACAAAAATAGTCCATGTTATGACCACGGGACTATCCGCCTCGTAAATTATTGTTTATTTGAACTTAAAACTATTCATAAGGCGCATCATATTTGGTCATTCTCCAATAATTTCGGGTATAACAAAATATTCCTAGTTTAAAATCAGTGTTGATAAACTGGAAACATATTTCCGTTTTCAGTGGTTTTGAATATCAACCCTTAAACTGAATGTGCACTTTTAATTAGTCACTGAAAATATTTTGATTTCTCGCGTGATTATAGAACAATAAGGAAAATATAAATATAGTTTCGAGTAAACATTCATTGTAAGTTTGGTAAGTATAGTTTTAGTCATGATAAAGTAAAAAATCACCAATATAATGAACATGTAAGTGTAAATATGGTAGTTATTTGTTTAAATTATAATTACTGAACAGCAGTGAAGCTTAATTTAAATAATACAATTCTCAATCATTTTAATAGTCTTTTTTTAAAACATGTTTTTTTGTCCTAACGCGTGTTACACTCCAAAACTTTACGAATTAGTATACTACTCCTTAAACAAGTTAGTAGCTATCTAAACTCAGTAGCTTAGTGAATAATCAGTCGTAGTTTGGAGCTGTAATTGACGAGTCTTAATGTGGATATGAACACTAGAATCCCGGGACATCCAAGTGATTAATCCCAAATGGAAAGAAATATGCGTTTTCGGTCCTACTGCACACTTCTACTATTCAAATACATGAATAGGTGATATAAGCGTTATACCCTAACCACAAACAACCGATTTTCCACTGTTTCATTGCTTTTTTAAAATAAAGTAGCAAATTATTTAGACCATTTACTTTTTTTTCAGCGTCCACTTGATCATGGAGCAAATGTTGTTTTACACTCTCTCACAAAGTATATGAATGGTAAGCTCCTTTTTCATTGCAACCAACAGGTAAAATAACTTAATTTATGTCTACCTCGCATAATGTCCTTAGTGGTTAAGTATTGCATAAAATCTCTAAGTAGACAGCACTTTTCATAATTTTGGCGATTTGTTTGACCTCATAAAGCCGTCTTCTTCTTATGATTACCTAGTACCCATTTATTTATTTAAGGTAGTGTGCGTCATTGTCAGCTACCATTAGTATAAAGAACTCATTGTTGACTGACGTTAAGGGTTGTTTGGTTGATGCTTGGTGTATAGGTGAATACTTTTTTACCTTCATATTGAGAGAAATGTTTGAGATTTCCATCCTCCTCCTATATATTTAGTGATATTCTATGTTCTAAACTTAACGGCGTGGAATACTAAGTTTAACTGGCTGTCTGACTTTACTATATACTGTAGTTAATTATTACTCTTGTCGTTTGAAGTTGATTTTGTTTCGTAATGTGATGAAGATCCTGTTTAGCTTATTACTAAGTAAAGTCCCGTGTAAAAATGTACGAATGTGCACATTTGAAGTTCAGTAGTATATATAATAAGTAGTAGAAAATTAATTTGAAATTTGCAAAAGAACCTATCCATATAGCTACATAGTATTCGTTAAAAACATTTTCTGTTTCTGTAATAAGGTCATTCTGATGTAGTTATGGGCGCACTGGTTACACGTAATCAATCAGAACTACACAAGCAGATAAGATTCATACAGTATGCTGCAGGAGCTGTTCCGTCTCCATTTGACTGCATGTTATGTCTTAGAGGATTACGCACATTACCAATACGAATGAAAGCGCACATGCGAAATGGACTTATAGTGGCTATGATGCTTGAGAAACATCCGTTAGTTGAAAGGGTTCTACATCCAGGTATGTTACTCTAAATGTTTCTTGAATAATAAGACTTCAGACGCAATTGTATAGATAGAGGTTAACATTTACATATAATGGTAAAACTGATGCCAATCAGCTGCTTATTCGTTAGATAATATTCCTCACATAAAATCCTAACGAAGATGAGAGGTGAATTTATTATTAACTGTGACCTCTATGAATATCTAAGAATATTTGGTTCCGTTATGCCAAGACTATACGGACTCTCAAAATTCATAAGAATGTTCTCCTACGTCCTATACATGATATGAATAACTCTCCATATAATCTGATTGCTAAATGGTTAGCTGATATTTTAAAACCCGTCACAAACAACATCAATAAATATAACTCTCTGATTTACTTGATTCTGTTGACTCAATTAGAAATATCTGTGTAAATGGTAAAAAAAGATGGTCTCATTGGATGTCACTTCTCTCTTTACAAATGTTCCACTCACGAAAACTGTGTTTTTTATGTGAATACAATGAAAATAATAACCCTGATATTCGCATCGCAAAACATTGTCTAAAAGAGCTACTTCTACGATGTATTCTCAACGTGCAATTATGAGAATCAAGAGAGGAGCTGACATAGCTTTAGATCACCTGGTTGTGGCCAAGATAAAACTGAAGCTAAAAAAGCATTGGACAACTGGGAGAATAGCATTACAAAGGTTCAATACAGCCTTCGAGATACTGAAAAACTCAACGAATTCAAAATAACTCTCAACAACGGGTTCCAAGCCTTACATGATCTACTGAAGGAAGAAGGAACTACGATGGAGGAAAACTGGGAAGGGATCAAAGAAGCACCATCATAAGGAATAGATTCCTATCGAAACGCTGCATAAGATTCAAGAAAAGAAGCACAAGAAGACAGCAATCAACAACAGTCGATCAAGAAGAAAGTCAAGGCACAAGCTGAATATAGAGAATTAAACAAGCTAGTGGAGAGGAACATTAGTGCTGACAAGTAGAAATATGTTGGAGACCCAGCAACGACAGCGGAGAAAGCTGCAATAGAATGAAACCTGAGGCAACTATATGACACGACGAAGAAACTGGCAGAGAAACATAGTGAACCAGAAAAACCGATCAAGGATAAGAGAGGCACCGCATTCACTGAAATTCAAGAATGGAGGGACAGATGGGTGGAACACTTTGAAGAACTCTTGAATAGACCAGCTCCATTGAACCCATCGGACATCAAAGCTGCACATACAGATCTTCTAATAGCTGTCACTCCACCAATTATCGAAGAAATCAGGATCTGAGCAAGTGTGAGAACTATAGAGGCATCACACTACTGTCAGTACCAGGAAAGGTTTTCAATGGGGTGTTGCGCTGAACCAGTTGAAAGACTCAGTAGACGCTCAGCTTCGAGATCAACAGGCTGGATTCCGTAAGCATTAGTTGTACACAGACCACATCGTGACACTACGGATTATCGTTAAGCAATCAATCGATTGGAACTTGTCAGTATGCATCAACTTCCTTGACTCTCTCTCTCTTTGCTATTCTGATTGTTCCGTCATCTATGTCATTGGATTCACTTTATGTCATGCCTAAATGTCACAGGTTAATAAATATATTATTTCAATGGTTGAAATCATGAGTCAATTGAAGCTAGACGACCATGGAAAACCTGGAAGCACTGGACGGCCGTTTCGTCTTAGTATGAGACTCCTCAGCAGTGCGCATCCACGACCCCGTCCCCCACGAGATTCGAACCCAGGACCTATCAGTCTCGTGCCAGGTGCTTCCAGGTTTTCCATGGAGGTCTAGCTTCAATTGACTGTAAGCAGATGATGAGAAGCCACGAAATGTAATGAGTTCGTATTATTCTGCCTTAACTGTTGTTTTGGCTATGTTCGCATTCCTAAAAGGAACCAACTGCATGAAGTTTATGAAAGTAATTACGAGTGGTTAAGATTATAAATATCAGATGTTAATTAGCAAACAGATGATGTAAAACACGTATTTAGGGAACTGACAAGTCTATCATAATATTTAGTACGACAGTCGAAAAAAATTTTGATAAATCAAATACTTAAGCATAAAAATACTGCTTCAGTTAAATAACAAAAAAAGGGTATAGACATTTTGAAGGAAAGACGTTGGCATAAAGGAGAATATAATACCGTTGTGATGAATGCTGATAGCTCCAGTTATTTTTAAAACACATATGCGCAAGCCATGTGGTGAATTCAGTGCATGATTTCAAAGGTCTTGTTTAGAACAAGGATGGTACGAAGCCCCCAAAAGTCACTGTTTGAAGGAAAATATTTCTTCGCTTACCCCTTTTTTTTATCTAAACATCTAAACAAGAATTCTCGCTTCACTAAAACCACTTAATCACGAAAAATTAATAACTGATTTATGTGTCACAATTGTAAATACATCTTTAATGAATAAAATTACCAACGTTAACGGGTCGTTTATGTTACACATATTTATTTCAAGTGAGCACTGTCAATTTCTGTTTATGCTCTGCGCTTACTAATACTGGTCATTAGTTTATATGTCAGGGTTATTTATATTATTCCTAGTGTTAATCCATATACTAATTAATTAGCACATGAAGTACTTACGAATGATTTTTATTATTGTTGCAGTTGGAAAAAATGAGAATAGATATGGTACGCTGTATATTTCCCACAAATTACTTCTATCCGTTCAAGATGTATGGTTAGGTCAACATTTTTTAAATCTAAGTCGGTTGTTCCTTTAACCTTTTATACCTGTTTAATTGCAAACAAGTTGATATTTGCTAGTTTTGCATTTGGCCGTTTTTATTTTCAACATTTTCTGATATTCAAGGCTTAGAATCATTTCCTCAAAAGGATATTATCGCAAAGCAGATGCGTGGTTTTAGTGGTATGATAACTGTTTATCTACGATGTACTGGGGAACAAACAAAAACGTTTATTACAAATCTGAAGGTAATTGCGTTACCGTATATGGATGATATCAATGTTCTAAAAGAGTTATGAACTCAATAGTGAGAGTCAATACAGGCGATTAAGTGGATAAAATTCATTTTTTTCAAATATGTATGTGATGATTAGAAGTATTTGAATTATTATACGTACTAGGAATCCCCAAAATAGCTCAATTTAGGCCAAACATAACTTTGTGAGCACAAACGAATGTATTGTATTTGGAATTCAAAATCAGGCAGTCATCAAGTACAAAAGAATCATTAGTTAATACAAACACAACAACCGCCACAGCTTAAATTGGAATCTAAGTTTCTGCGATCAATTTTACCTTTTCTCGTTAGGTTCATCATGTATCTGTCCAACCGTGTATTGGATGTAGACTAAGTATGACCTAGAAATTGGAACGGACTCACCTGGATCCTGGAATTGTATACAATCGCCATGTGGGTTGTGTACTGAAACCACTGATATTCAGAATTTGAACCATAGACGTCCCAACACTATTCTCCCCCACGAAATAATGTTGGATCTTGATAGCCCCAAGTTATGAATAATGTGGCTTCATTTGAAACATGTCTCACATTGATTAGAGGATTCATGATAAGTATAAACAACATTTGATCTGAATCCACACGAATTGTAATCAAAATCGAGCTGATTTAGCACTTGTGCTATGCATTGAACAAGTTTACCGCAAGAGACAGATGCAGTGTAAGGATAAATAACATTTGATATGACATCATGATGTAATTTTTCCGAAATCTTTTCCTCAAATTTATTAAGAATTTCATTGGAGAATAATATATCACCAGAAAAATCAGCATCTGTCAAAACTGCACCATATTTTCTATCATAATTTAATTCATTCAACACATTTCCCTCAGATTTATAGAAAATTTCATCAGAAATATGTGAATCATTAAGACAAACTGTGGTGTGCGCTACTTATATACACATAAGTACTATATAATGGTAGTCAGTAATAGAATGTATTCCAGTAGAGAATAGAGAACGAAAGAACGGGGAAGGAAAGTAATCAGTACAAAAATGCAGGAACAATGAAATCTGAGACGATGGACTGATATTTGTAAAAGAAACAGCCAATTTTGAGACAATGGGTTAATATTTTGCAAATTAAGTATTTACTGTATGGTTCTCAGATTTTATTGAGATGTTCTGTAATTTCTTGTTCTAATACATTCGATCGCCCCCACTTGTGTCCTTTGTTCACTACAAAACGATATCTGATACAAAAACATGAGATCTGATAAGTTGGTTGACTAGAAGCTTTTATCTCACAATGATTCTGATTTCATTTGATTCTAGACTGCTTTATGACTATACTGTTTTTCGAAATCGAAGGAAAAGGCAAATGATCGTTGGAAGCATTCAACTTAATAAGATTTGAATTACAAAGTTTAGCATTACTTGGAGCGAAATGAACAGTAGTATTACAAACTGACTGAATGTGTCCAATTTTACCACATATAAAGCATTTAGCATTACGAAATGCATATGAGTTACATGAGAAATTTGCCACAGGACAAACATTTACCAAACCCGAACAATAAAAACTGGCAATCAGTCAGTAACTGGCAATACTGCCAGTTTAAAGCCTAAAAAACTAAATAGAAAATAAGAGGTAAAATTACTCTTATAAAAATGAAATGAATGTATTTCACATCACTACAAACATTTAAAGGTTTGGTGGTTTCCGTCTGTAACTTCTTTTTAACTCCCATTCAAGAAACTTTTATCCTGAACCAGATTCAGACTATTTCAGCAAATATTTCATAGATCGATGTTGCACTCTAGTCCACCACACTATAGCTTTTCGCATGATATATACTCTCATTTCTAGGTCTTAAGGAAATGGTTTAATTTAAGTTATATTGTTTAGATATTTGAAGGTTATAAAGGTTGAATATTCGACTTTATTTCTTGATACAAATTTTTCCGGTTGATTGTCACTTATAATCCTAACTTTTTGTTTGAAAGTTTAGATTGAGCTGAGTTTACTGATGCAAATTTTCTGATTAGAGTCTTCGAGATAAATGTAAACTACTGTTGGAGATCTTAGATGTGTTGGCTCAAAATCTGTCGCTATGGCAAAGAATCGTTGACCTGTTCATCTTAGATCTTGAGTTTTACCAGCCATAATTTCTCCCTTCGTTTCTTTCAAGGTGTACCCTTCTCACCATTACCACTATTTCAACTCGTCGCTCATGTAGTTGGTTTCCTCTAATTATTCGTTAATGTAACTACGGCTTTCACACTTCTGTGCCAGGTTCTATTTTAACGGTGACTTGATGATTTCGAAGAGAGGTGTACAGAGATTTGAGCAGAATTACTTATATTCACGTGATATCTATTTAAAACTTATAACGTTTAGAAACCAAAATCACAGAACGAGTTGAAAATCCGTGCACAAAAGAATTCTGTTTGGGAGTTCTTGTGACTGCACATCAGCATACTATAGCAGAGATATAAATATATTTGAGATTGAATAAAGATTTTGTAAATATATGTCATACGTGACAAAAAATTGTACAGCAGTTATAGTAACAGACGACCAAAAGGCTAGATATAAGTGCTCACGTAAGTAATGATCAAACGCAAATAATAAAAATGTGTAGTGCTCATTGAGTTAAGAAATAATACCAAAACTAGTGAAGAGTTACAAAACTGAACAAAACGATATATTCAATTAGGAATATTAAAGTTTATCGGAACCATACTAAGCGATAAAATTATCTGTAATTTCCTATACTTATGCTTGTATTTTTCAGCTGTTTATGTTAGCCGAAAGTTTAGGGGGTTATGAGAGCCTTATTGAAATTCCGTAAGTCTTTTGTTGAATCTTGTAAAATTTATGCTTGTGTTCAGTTTGTGTGCACTTGTGAAAGCGTAGTATCAAAACCATTTTTCCTTATTGCAAATAATTTCTTGTTATCGAGTTAAACTGTTTAACAGTTCTCAATATTCCAGAAATTAAATAGGATATAAGTTGATGTTGGTATTCTAATTCAATAAAAAGAGTGGTTTACACTGCGTCGATAGTTCAGGAGTTCCAGAAGTTTGATCATCGATGATCGAAAACCAATAACCTTATAACGACCCTGATTAAAGCATTTTACGAACACGTGTTTCCTAACTCCACATGATTCATTCATCTGTTGGATAGAATAACCTACAGAATTCCGGTGTTTTCTTAGGCGAAGTCACTGCTATTGCTTCAGATGCACAAACTAGTTTGCTCAGAAGCTAGAATAACCTATGCAGCCTTGAAACTGTTTGTTTACTTATGTGAACACATAAGTATTGGTACCAAGGGGCACCGAATGCATATGCGACACACAAGTCACTTGATTTGTGTGTGGACTGAGATGCTGCCTGGGTGCCTGAATCGAGACAGGTGGTTTCCTTAGGGGGTAACACCCACAGCACTTGACCTAAAGATCTGATCCATAAGGCAGTGGGCAACGTCAGGAGATACAGTCCCATGGAAGCCATGTCCAACAATTAGTTCGTATACCATTTGTTCCCGCAGGATCCTTAAGCCCATATGCACCGTTAGTTTAGAATCTGACTTTTCCAACTCCCATTGTTGTATCCTCTAAATACGCCTTATCAGTTAAAGTGCCAGATACTCGCTTTTCGTACTCGCGTAAACAACACCCGTAGAGCGAGAAGGCTGTGATTAGGAATTTCCTAGCAATGGCTGTGAACGCGTGGCCATGTGAGAGCATTCCGAGAGAAATAACTAACTCTCCTCAACCTCGGTAGTACCAAGGCATTTGAAGGCTTGACACTGTACCAGCTACTGAAAATAAAGACCCGTGAAATAAACATCAAGTATGATCTAGAAAACCCTTAGGTGTTGCTCGGATATCTTCTGAGAATTTAACTGCTTACAAATTTGAACCAATTAAATATTGAGAAGTGGAAGAGTAGAAGTTGTTGATATGAATTGTTTGGCTCACTTCCATTTGGCTTGGAGAAGTATCGCTAATGACTGTGGCATCAGTGATATATTACAAAGCAAACAATTCACTGGTAACGATTCACTTCAACAAACCAGGTAGCTTCATTTAAACGGCACTATTATTACGCACTACAAAGTTGTTTAACTGATTGTTTTCCAATAAACATGTTATTCCCTGCTGTTAGTTCATAATTTTTTACTCTTCTTTAAACAAAACTCTAATCTACTGTATTTAGCTATATTCTGAAAATAAATATTAACCAATCAATACCCCAACCAACGTTTTTGAAAAATAAACATTGAAGCCACTCAAAACAAAGTTTTGTCAGCTCAAAATGTCATGCCACCGTTTTTTTAATTTATGACGATTAAATGCTAGCACCGATTATTCGGTAAGCTGCAATAAAGCTAATAACGTTATCAACTCACAGGATAGTAACAAACAAGTCGAAATCCTGTATAGATAACCAAATAGCACGGGAACATTAGGCATGAATGACGAGGGTATGTTGGTTTTAAACATCGTTTACAATAAGATATCCAATGTTTATTGGTTTTGTTCGTAGAACAGAGCATGATAAAAAGTGATCATTTACTAACTTCAGTGATTTAAGACCCACATTATACTTTGTAGTATCGAAATTCTAACTTACACGTTTCGCGATTAGCAATTGCTACCCTGACGTTATGGTTATACTCATATATTATCGTAATCGAATCTGACCAATCCAACTGATATTTGTTCTGCGACTTTACTATACGGAAATTTTCAGCAGGGTGGAACCCTAAAGTAGACAACCACCATAATGCATATAGTTTTGATCTTCTTGAGACGTACTGGGGGAAAATAATTGTAAAGTATTGTATACACAACAAGGCGTCTTCCTCGGTTCATTAGCGCTTCTAAAGGCACTGTTTTCTCATAGTCGGAAGTAAAGACCAGAAAAAGTCAGCTCTGGAAAATGTAAATCAAACTCTGCTGTGATCTTCCTTTGTAAATAGTAGTGTGTCTCAATGAGTGAATATACTCAACTGAACTCCACGACTTCAAAAAAATTCAGCCACTCTGCCTCGGCTACACCCCAACATGAATTTACATTCTGACTGTAATTTAAACTACTATGCTCCAGTAATAAATTTGAACACTTTCATTATGGTGAAAAGAACTTGACTTACTAATAAACATGCATTTCGGGAAGGACAGAACAGTGAACTATGTAAAACGGTAACATAAAGACATTGTTTGCGATTGTAACAAGGCGTTTTCTCATTTTCAGGTCCGTTATGACACACGCATCAGTCCCAGAGGAGGTTCGTGAGGTCAACGGGATCACTGGGAATATGCTTCGCTTGTCAGTGGGACTAGAAGATCCGAAAGACCTATCACTCGACTTATATGAAGCTTTTGACAAATTGAACCAGAATTCCAAACCAATATAAACTTGTCCTCTTTAATTATTGATTGACGTTTCTTTAAATAAATTCACATAATGAATACTTTACAAATTTTTATGACTATTTACTTAATACGTACACAAATATCGGGCTAAGACTGATGGGCATCAATGCTACTAGTAAAGAATCTAGTTTTAGCAATCGCATGCTCACGCACGAAAGGTCAAAACATCTCTGGATAATATACGTGTTAGATAAGTACTGCATTCTAATGGACCGAATTTTATCTGTAATCATGCTGCGCAGCTCTTGGTTAGCGAGCATTCACCTAATAAGCAGCCTTCTTATTGAGTTATGTCAGTGGCCAGCCTCATGGTTAATTAGGCCACACTTAACTTATATCTTATTTTCCCACTAGTGTCAGTTTGGTCTTTCGTAAGCGCGAACACGAGTGATTGGCCAGAGGTTTTCAAACAATTCAAAAGAAAACCTAAGCAGAATGGGCACTGAGGTGTGCCATCGCTTGAACTACAAACATGGTGTCGCAATAGACCAATGGATATGAGATCTGTGGCTTTTTGTACTACTACCCGCGTCATAAAACAATAACCGCCCAACGTTTTCAACCATTTCTAGTATCAGGGAACAACGGACGATATGTAAGTCACCGAGATGACATTCGTAGCACACCAAGCCACCGAGGCTAATGTATCAAAGTGGTGATACCGATTGGGTTATCGTCATTGTGCCCAAACACATTGTCAAACCTCGGCATTTCTTACGTGGTGTTATCACTGAATTTCAAAACTTTCGTAGACAACGATGACTGAACATGGAGAGCTACTCAGTGTCCTCCACTCCTAACACGTTGTACACTCGACCTTATACAGCCAGACTAATATCAAGACAGTATCAAAGATTATCACGATTGTGATAACACACCGGTTCTGCCAATACGTAGGTCGTTTACACTACCCTTCTCACCATCGGAACTCACACAACTACCCAGACAAATGAACCTTTCGACCACTTCTGGAGGTTTACAACCAATAAAGGGTGCAAACAGACTTGTAAGAGCAATTTACATGCCGTACCCACTGCTATTCATTGACAACTGGTCTCAAAGCTTATCATTTGACCATGAGATAATATCACAGGTTTACTCAAGATCAAAGCTACCTCCAGTGACGGGAAAGTTGAAAGCAAACGATGGAATGGGGCGACCCCACGGCTGGGATGACATAATGGAGACTGGCGGTCACTCATCCTAATTGTTCCCGAAATACATCTCTATAAGGCTCTCGGAACGTTAGTAGACTTCCCAGACACACCAACCTAACAGACCGCCCGATAGTAAGTCAGTCAGTCAGTAACAACGTAGAACTTCGTACGTACGTACATCAGTTCGAGTTGCCACACCACCTTAACACAGAGATGCAGTTGTCGATCCAAATCCCGTAGTGGTAGAGGTAGCAAGAGTGTAAGCAGTGATCGGGAAGATTAGGGTTTGGAGATGTTACATAAAGAGTATAATTCAGTGAAATAAATTTGGAAAGAGGAAAAAAGGGACATGAAGAATTCAGAAGATTAGAATTTGGGAGAACACAAAGAGTGGATGCACCTGCGCCATTGCAAACGATTTTGAGCCATGTCATTCAGGGTTTCTAACCATCGGTTGCTATCATTTCGCGGTCCCCAACCAGGTAGTCTACACCTATCAACATGACTCAGACCACTTGTCAGTGACTTCATGGACTTGTGCCGTGTTTTGGTCTGGTCGCCCCTAGCTTTCTTCCAATCTACTCCTATGCCACTGAACATCGCACATCGAGGCAGTCAGTCGTTGGGCATACGTAACACGTGTCCCAGCCATCTCAACTGATGGAGTTTCACTACGTCATCAATTGATTTGCCATCCTTACCTAGTACCCGTTTCCTAACAACATCATTAATTACTCGATATTCCCAGGATACACGAGCAATGTTTCGAAGACACCTATGATCAAATACTAGTAACCTACGAATATCCTGTACTCTTACCGGCCATGTTTCACTGCCATAAAATAGGACGGAACGAACTGCTGCGCAGTAAACACGTCATTTGGTTGATAGACGGATATCTCGCCTACGCCATAAGTGACGGAAGTTGGCAAAAGCCAGTCGAGCCTTCTGTATCCGTGCTGAGATTTCGGGTTCCTAATTCCGGTTTCCTTAACAAGTCTGAACAATTGTCTGCTATTACCTATTGCCGCTGCCTTTTCCATCTCTCTTGCTTTCGCTACCCACCACTGTTCGCGATCATTGCGTAGACTTCTTGTCAGCTAGCGCTTAAGCTGACTCCGCTCTTCACTATGTTCAGAGCCAGGTGGAATGAGTTTCCGAGCATCCATCAGTGCGATAGATGCTGCTGAGATCCAGTGTTGCTCCCTAACCTTCTGGTTTACCTTACTAGAAGATATCACTGCTGTTTCCACAGCTTTTCGGATATCATTCCAAGCTGCCTCGGGGTGGGCATCACATACATGGCTGCCTAACTGTTTTCCTAGTTGTTCCTGAAATATACTCTTAGCTTGACTATCATTAAGTAGACCCGATAGTAAAGTCCTATTCCGTAAATCGACGACGGACCCAGTGTTAAGAAATACGACGGTTGATCGCCCGCCAAGAATGACTGTACTCGAGCAATCAGTGGAACGTGGTTATGTGATAAATATGTCCACAACCAAGACAGACAGCAGGCTCCACACCAGTCAGTCTTACGGGTTTTCGGCAACGTACGAAGCATGACGGAAGCCAACTGCTTGAATGTAATCAGGACGTCTTATCGCTCAATAGATGCAGCAGGGGAAACGTAAACGTTGTGAAGACAAGAACGACAATAAATCAACACAAGTGGTTTTCCTACATAAGGTAAGAACGTTGTACGCCATCACTAGTTAAATCTTTGACAGCAGTCAGGACGGGCCACAAAGTTATAAACTGTCGAAATGTCTCTCGACCGCATTGCTAAGTGTTACGTGAGTACAATCAGACGGTCTGTTCTAGTGCGTGCATTCCACCAAAGTAGCCACCCTCGTCCTACTGTATGCTGCATACGAAGCCCCTAGGTCATTGACACTGATCGTGCCTGATTGACCAGCCTTGGCAGTTACCACGGGGAAATCACTATTGTGTAACGAATGACCCTACCCCACCCACAGGCTAGTTGACGCAATATTCATGACGCTTACTGTGACACCATACCCAACTACGCAAAAAAATGAAGCCTGGGTGGGCCGAAATATTTGCACTTCAAGGCTTTCTGATTGAGTGACAATTACAGACAAGACAGAAGTAGAAACAGATATTTCAAGAAAATATTTGTATTTGACTGCAAATCTGACAAATTTTAGTTGTTGCAAGTCCAACCTCGAAAAACGAATACATTGACTATGGTATTGTCAAAATATAGAGTTGTCGCGTAGTTTACCAGGTCAGCTACCCGCCGACCAACGAGATACGCATTACTTTAGCATTCAAGCGACCGCTGGTAGTTCAACAAGCGGAGATACAGAATGCACTCAACCAACCATTCGAACTTACCAGTTGACGATACACCTGAAAAGGAAGAGAAATAGCGTTTTAGAAATGGTAGAAAAACAATCAGTCCTGTTGAGCAAGATAATCACTTATCAATCATAAACATTTCATCACTTGAATTTAGCAACTCACCACTTGAATAAGGAGACTTGTGTTTACGACATATTTCGTACGATCTGAAATGCAAAAAATAAACACCCATATTTGCATCTTGTTACTAGTGCACAATCAGGCCTATCATTGAAATATCATATTCATTAAGGGCTCAAACTTTCATCACGTTACACAACTAGCGCTTACCAAATTCAAGGAATTCACGATTGGCATTCAAAAGCTGAAAGGCATCTCCACGAATATAGGGTGGTCTAAAATGGAAATAACGACAATATTAGCTGAATACCCTTGTGATATCAGATACTATCTAGTGGCATTCACTGTTTCATCCACATGTTAACATCATAACACTCCACACTAAAGCTTACCGCAAACTACCTACCCACGGAACAGTCACGACGTGACATGCACGAGAGTGAGTTTGACCAAATACATCTCGGCACGTCAGTTAACAAGCTATACCTCAGCTAAACACATCCAATGCTCAATGTGTTAGTTTATTAATTGGATATTACCGAACGCACCGATCCAGGTGATCAGGCTTAATAAGTCCAAGAACGTTCTCTCCAAAGTTGCTGGGTACCATTGCTTTTCGAAAACGAAGGAATTTACGATCGACTTTTGTGACTACACTTACAATTAACCTTGGTATAGACAAGAATCTAGATAGCCCTTGGTAGTCTACGAAGTTGTGACCGGCATATATTTCAATGGATTTGATTGCATTGGCTGGGACTCACTGAAGTCTAAATCACTGAGTTAAGATAATATAACTCTCCAGAAGTGGTCAATGTCTTGATTGTTTGGGGTTGTGTGCCGTAACTCAGTCTTGTGAACAGCGATGGTTAGACCAGACAGTAAATAGCCATCAGGGTATATTAAGATCTCTATTTTTAAGACTTGGGACGTAGTGGAAGCATATCTCAAACCATCCGGTTACTTCTCGTGAGTAGTCGCAAACAGTAACTTTCTCATAGCAGCATTATAATGAATAAAGAAACGCTTGTTGCAATACAAAGGCCTCGTCAAAATGTCCTAAACCATCCTATCATTATAGAAGTCGCCTTCCACTGTTGGTGAATTGAGACCTGGCTCGCTTACTGTAAGAATAGCCAACATATGATTGATATGAGGACAAAAACGCTCCAAACATTGAGAAACCGTGACTGGGTTCCACTTAACACTTCATTATAAACCGTGGACCTAAAGATGTTACAGATATTCATGGCTTGACAACGCTTTCGTTTTTAACACCTTTATAATAGAGGATCCCAATCCCAGCAAAACTAGGAGTCAAGAGTCAAGGGGTACAATGATATATTTGGAAGTGAGTCGATATGCCGAGAAGCACGTAATCTAAGCTGACCAGTTGTCTCGGGGAATGCGAAAAAAGGCTAACCCACTCGTAATCTGGTGCGGATACATGACCGAGAGCATTCATCTATGCTGTATCTAGTAAAATCAATGAGGTAAGTATCAATTCCGTGGACTTGGGGAACTTCTGTTAACCGATAAATCGCCGTTATCAACTCGTCCATGACGAAACGTTTGCTGGCCTCCAGAACGCAAGATAATTTCGGTGCAAACAAAGGCATGATGAGATTCCATATAAGTACTCCAGAAGGAGTAGCATTCTTGTACACAACCACACCTGGGGTGGATGATCACAATATGGTCAGTCTGATTACGGGTTTGAGTTGCAAAAGCAAGAAATGAAGTAGCATATCGATAATGGTTTTGTGAGAACTTGGCCATGGCAAGAGACGGTCTGTGATCGGTACAAACCTGCAGTAGGTGGTCACCATTGTCTGACTTTTGACCAATGATCGGTCGAGAGGCATTTCGACAGTTTATAACTTTGTGGCCCGTCCTGACTGCTGTCAAAGATTTAACTAGTGATGGCGTACAACGTTCTTACCTTATGTAGGAAAACCACTTGTGTTGATTTATTGTCGTTCTTGTCTTCACAACGTTTACGTTTTCCCTGCTGCATCTATTGAGCGATAAGACGTCCTGATTACATTCAAGCAGTTGGCTTCCGTCATGCTTCGTACGTTGCCGAAAACCCGTAAGACTGACTGGTGTGGAGCCTGCTGTCTGTCTTGGTTGTGGACATATTTATCACATAACCACGTTCCACTGATTGCTCGAGTACAGTCATTCTTGGCGGGCGATCAACCGTCGTATTTCTTAACACTGGGTCCGTCGTCGATTTACGGAATAGGACTTTACTATCGGGTCTACTTAATGATAGTCAAGCTAAGAGTATATTTCAGGAACAACTAGGAAAACAGTTAGGCAGCCATGTATGTGATGCCCACCCCGAGGCAGCTTGGAATGATATCCGAAAAGCTGTGGAAACAGCAGTGATATCTTCTAGTAAGGTAAACCAGAAGGTTAGGGAGCAACACTGGATCTCAGCAGCATCTATCGCACTGATGGATGCTCGGAAACTCATTCCACCTGGCTCTGAACATAGTGAAGAGCGGAGTCAGCTTAAGCGCTAGCTGACAAGAAGTCTACGCAATGATCGCGAACAGTGGTGGGTAGCGAAAGCAAGAGAGATGGAAAAGGCAGCGGCAATAGGTAATAGCAGACAATTGTTCAGACTTGTTAAGGAAACCGGAATTAGGAACCCGAAATCTCAGCACGGATACAGAAGGCTCGACTGGCTTTTGCCAACTTCCGTCACTTATGGCGTAGGCGAGATATCCGTCTATCAACCAAATGACGTGTTTACTGCGCAGCAGTTCGTTCCGTCCTATTTTATGGCAGTGAAACATGGCCGGTAAGAGTACAGGATATTCGTAGGTTACTAGTATTTGATCATAGGTGTCTTCGAAACATTGCTCGTGTATCCTGGGAATATCGAGTAATTAATGATGTTGTTAGGAAACGGGTACTAGGTAAGGATGGCAAATCAATTGATGACGTAGTGAAACTCCATCAGTTGAGATGGCTGGGACACGTGTTACGTATGCCCAACGACTGACTGCCTCGATGTGCGATGTTCAGTGGCATAGGAGTAGATTGGAAGAAAGCTAGGGGCGACCAGACCAAAACACGGCACAAGTCCATGAAGTCACTGACAAGTGGTCTGAGTCATGTTGATAGGTGTAGACTACCTGGTTGGGGACCGCGAAATGATAGCAACCGATGGTTAGAAACCCTGAATGACATGGCTCAAAATCGTTTGCAATGGCGCAGGTGCATCCACTCTTTGTGTTCTCCCAAATTCTAATCTTCTGAATTCTTCATGTCCCTTTTTTCCTCTTTCCAAATTTATTTCACTGAATTATACTCTTTATGTAACATCTCCAAACCCTAATCTTCCCGATCACTGCTTACACTCTTGCTACCTCTACCACTACGGGATTTGGATCGACAACTGCATCTCTGTGTTAAGGTGGTGTGGCAACTCGAACTGATGTACGTACGTACGAAGTTCTACGTTGTTACTGACTGACTGACTTACTATCGGGCGGTCTGTTAGGTTGGTGTGTCTGGGAAGTCTACTAACGTTCCGAGAGCCTTATAGAGATGTATTTCGGGAACAATTAGGATGAGTGACCGCCAGTCTCCATTATGTCATCCCAGCCGTGGGGTCGCCCCATTCCATCGTTTGCTTTCAACTTTCCCGTCACTGGAGGTAGCTTTGATCTTGAGTAAACCTGTGATATTATCTCATGGTCAAATGATAAGCTTTGAGACCAGTTGTCAATGAATAGCAGTGGGTACGGCATGTAAATTGCTCTTACAAGTCTGTTTGCACCCTTTATTGGTTGTAAACCTCCAGAAGTGGTCGAAAGGTTCATTTGTCTGGGTAGTTGTGTGAGTTCCGATGGTGAGAAGGGTAGTGTAAACGACCTACGTATTGGCAGAACCGGTGTGTTATCACAATCGTGATAATCTTTGATACTGTCTTGATATTAGTCTGGCTGTATAAGGTCGAGTGTACAACGTGTTAGGAGTGGAGGACACTGAGTAGCTCTCCATGTTCAGTCATCGTTGTCTACGAAAGTTTTGAAATTCAGTGATAACACCACGTAAGAAATGCCGAGGTTTGACAATGTGTTTGGGCACAATGACGATAACCCAATCGGTATCACCACTTTGATACATTAGCCTCGGTGGCTTGGTGTGCTACGAATGTCATCTCGGTGACTTACATATCGTCCGTTGTTCCCTGATACTAGAAATGGTTGAAAACGTTGGGCGGTTATTGTTTTATGACGCGGGTAGTAGTACAAAAAGCCACAGATCTCATATCCATTGGTCTATTGCGACACCATGTTTGTAGTTCAAGCGATGGCACACCTCAGTGCCCATTCTGCTTAGGTTTTCTTTTGAATTGTTTGAAAACCTCTGGCCAATCACTCGTGTTCGCGCTTACGAAAGACCAAACTGACACTAGTGGGAAAATAAGATATAAGTTAAGTGTGGCCTAATTAACCATGAGGCTGGCCACTGACATAACTCAATAAGAAGGCTGCTTATTAGGTGAATGCTCGCTAACCAAGAGCTGCGCAGCATGATTACAGATAAAATTCGGTCCATTAGAATGCAGTACTTATCTAACACGTATATTATCCAGAGATGTTTTGACCTTTCGTGCGTGAGCATGCGATTGCTAAAACTAGATTCTTTACTAGTAGCATTGATGCCCATCAGTCTTAGCCCGATATTTGTGTACGTATTAAGTAAATAGTCATAAAAATTTGTAAAGTATTCATTATGTGAATTTATTTAAAGAAACGTCAATCAATAATTAAAGAGGACAAGTTTATATTGGTTTGGAATTCTGGTTCAATTTGTCAAAAGCTTCATATAAGTCGAGTGATAGGTCTTTCGGATCTTCTAGTCCCACTGACAAGCGAAGCATATTCCCAGTGATCCCGTTGACCTCACGAACCTCCTCTGGGACTGATGCGTGTGTCATAACGGACCTGAAAATGAGAAAACGCCTTGTTACAATCGCAAACAATGTCTTTATGTTACCGTTTTACATAGTTCACTGTTCTGTCCTTCCCGAAATGCATGTTTATTAGTAAGTCAAGTTCTTTTCACCATAATGAAAGTGTTCAAATTTATTACTGGAGCATAGTAGTTTAAATTACAGTCAGAATGTAAATTCATGTTGGGGTGTAGCCGAGGCAGAGTGGCTGAATTTTTTTGAAGTCGTGGAGTTCAGTTGAGTATATTCACTCATTGAGACACACTACTATTTACAAAGGAAGATCACAGCAGAGTTTGATTTACATTTTCCAGAGCTGACTTTTTCTGGTCTTTACTTCCGACTATGAGAAAACAGTGCCTTTAGAAGCGCTAATGAACCGAGGAAGACGCCTTGTTGTGTATACAATACTTTACAATTATTTTCCCCCAGTACGTCTCAAGAAGATCAAAACTATATGCATTATGGTGGTTGTCTACTTTAGGGTTCCACCCTGCTGAAAATTTCCGTATAGTAAAGTCGCAGAACAAATATCAGTTGGATTGGTCAGATTCGATTACGATAATATATGAGTATAACCATAACGTCAGGGTAGCAATTGCTAATCGCGAAACGTGTAAGTTAGAATTTCG